AAGCATTTCCTGGGATGTGACTTGTGGCTCCTTCTAGTTTACACCTCTAAAATCATTATCTTTCTCTTGATGAATACTGTTTTGCAACTGTACTTTTTCATTTTGAGATGATAATGAGAGAATAGTATAATTTTTGAAATGCTGTTTGGTTCACTGAGCAATTGATAGATCCCTTTTAAGAAATGAACTAGCATTCAACAGAACAGATTAAATCAGAAGAAAACGTCATGTGCTTGTAGACCAGTTTCTGATTTGAGAAGGAAGGAAAAGGCCCGGCTTTGCTAGTCTTTTGATAAGGTATGTTGTTCATGTGATTCCAGAGTCTTAGAGCTGAGGAGACATATGTTTTAACCTTCTACCTAATCCTGGAAATCCCTTTAGTTTTTCTGAGAGAGAGCAACATTTAAATTGGCCATAGCCCTGGTGCTTTATTGAGGCCATGATAAAAACCTCCTTCAGCAAAGAGGAAAACCTCCCCATGTCTAACTGTAGCCCATTGCTGGGCATGGAGGGATTTTTGGGCCTTCGTAGTCTGTTGGCAAGAGTGTGTGTATGCCACTTGCCCAAGTTTACCAGATACTCCAGTGATACGTGTACACATCTTCATAGTTAGAATTTAGCGGTAGCACCTTGATTTCTTTGGACACAGCTGGCCTTGAGTTCAGCAGAATGTGATATGCCCTAATGGATGTTCCAAGATCTGTGGACACCTTGAATTTGAGCTCTGTCACCTCCATTCCCTGCCCTCCTCAGCACAAACAAACCTGAAGACTCTTTAGCAGACTTTAATAATGAATGGGTTTCTCTCTCCTCCCCCCTTCCCTCCAGTTTCACTCTCATCAGCTGTTTCACATCTTTGTGGTTGCTGGCGCTTTTGTTCACTTCCACGGCGTCTCAAACCTCCAGGAGTTCCGTTTCATGATTGGCGGAGGCTGCAGTGAAGAGGATGCACTGTGACACCTTCCAGAAGCCGGGGACTGTGACCCTGAACAGGGCCTGCAGCGTCTGCAGGCCTCCCTTACTGGCCATTGATGCCAGTGCCAGAGGAGCCTCAAAACTTGGACAGCCGCGTGGGCTTTGTGATGCCCCTGGGGCTCCACCTGGTACACGACTGAGAAGAGAAAAACAAAAATAAATCATACCTCAAAGGATGGAGTGCATCAATTTGGAGAAAAGGAGAATTGGCCCAAACCCTGACTTATAATTGGGATCTACTGATTGAGGGCTCTGCACGACCTTGGCAAACTGGCTTCTGATCCGTGTCACATTTTTTTGTAGAAGATGGGAACACAGTTTAGCTGGTGGTTCATTCTTCTCCCTTTCTCTCTCAAATCAGTAATACAAACCAATTTAGGTGAACATTTATATCCTATTAAAGGGTGGGAATGTGATTTTAGATGTTCTTTTGGGAGAACAAAGAAATTAATGTAAATAAGATTTCTAACTTACTGTTTAAAATAAGAATTTATATAAATGTTTAAAACATAGGGGTATGGGAGGGAGGGGAATTTTGTATAGAATGAAACATGCAAGTACCACACACTGTTTCAATTTTGCACAAAGTGACTGTAGGAGGATCAGGTGATGGCCCCAGAATGTATAATGCCTTGGTGCACCAAGGTGCCTTCTAAAGGCTGGCATACCTTGGACCCTGTGGGGCAGAAAGTACAGCTCCAGCCCAGTGATCACATGACCACTGTCATGTCTGAGAGCCTTTGGGAGTCCCAAGGTAGAGGGAAGCTGTATGTGTTTTCTCAGTGGAAGCAGCACGTGAATAGCTGACAGGATGTGTTAGATAAAGGCTCTAGTTAAGGTATCACTTGAGAGACTGGTTTTCTGTGCTGAGAGTGACCCCTTCTAAAGAGTAGAGCCATTTACTTGGGAAAGTCAATTATGCCAGCAAAGGGGTAGTGGAGACAGTGGGGGGAGCTAGCCCAGAGGCTGATCTGATTACTTCCTGGCATCCTATTCAATTTTGTGGTGATTTTTATCTGCAGGGATATGACAGTTTTCCATATCTTTGCTGTGGAGCTCTGGAACACCCCAGAAATTTCCTTCTGTTAAAGGCACTGCCCTAACTACCCTTCCCCCTCTTGGGAACACAAATGGACTTTTCCCTGGCATCATGGTTCCTGGCATGGAGCCAGCCCCAAAAGAGACTCCGACTTGCCCAGGTGCCTCCTGAGCTCATTTACATAGGTTGGGAGAATGCTTCCTTTGGATCAGAAAAGGTGAATTTCACCTCTGGCACCACTGTCTTAGCCTAGTCGTGACACACATATCAGCTGTCCTTGAACAAGAAAACCAGTAGAACTCTTGTAAAGCAAGGTCTAGTACCCACCTTGGAGTCATCAGTATTCCCTGAACCCCAATTTTTGGGGATAGCGTTGTGGGAAGTTGTGAAAGAAAATGGTATGTTATTGCCAGGGAGTCTGGTACAGCTGTATCTTTAAAGAGCTGCTAGAAGTAGAAAAAAGGTTGCTCATGCCCCAGAGGTACCCTGTTATGGTGTCAGGGAGAGTGGTAGGGGAAGGATCTGGTTCATAGAATTCTAATCTTGGCTCACAGACCACCAAAATAGCACTTGAGTATTAGGTTACTTGCTGTCACCCAAGACTTCAGGTGATTGAGTTACATCTTGGGGATTGTGGGTTTTAGAACTAAACATTGAAGCCCTAAGCACAGGGGCTGGCACCCTCCAATAGGTGTTTGGTGTATGGGAAGGGTCTCCTATCCAGGAGAGCATTTTCTTGATTATTAATCTCCTTTCTCTCCCCTTCCAATCTCCAGCAAAAGCTGGGAACCAGGAAGAAGGACTCCATTGTAGAACTGGGGAAGAACTTAAAAGTATTTTGGTTCTGGGTAAGGTCACTGCCTTGGGTGCCGGGGGACCCAGCAAAAGACTTGAGTGGGTGAACTGGTGCAGTGCCTGACAATAAAGAACAGTATTACTCCCTTTGAGGGAATAGTCCAGCAGGGCAGTGGCCATCTGGAAGGAAGGACACTTAGTCTCATGGAAGCAACAGCACATATCAGAAGCCAGACTTGCTCTTTGGTCATGCACTTTGGGATACAGGGTATAAGATGCAGCCCTGTGACAACACCAACAGAAGTAGTAGTTTCTGGGCCCAGTCACCCCACACCCCAAAGGAGGAGCTGAATCTGGTTCAGCATAGCACAAACTGTTAGGAAAAATGAAATTAACATCAGTGATGTGTAATCCAGTAAAAATCTCCCTCTTTAGGGTGTGTGTGCGCGAGTGCGTGTGTGTGCCCCCATTTATATGTGTGTGTCTATATGCAGCTCACTACCAACAGCCTCACTGTGCACTTGGTCTTCACAGTGCTCGCTGAGAACTCTCACCAGGTTGGCGCCTGAATGCCTTACTCTCAGCATCAGAGGCTTGCTTGCTCTGTGCAGATTCTTAATTTTCTTTGTTGGCCCAAGGCTGGTTAGGACCTCTCCAGCTTCATTCTTTCACCATTAAATAGTGGCCTTTTTCAGTATTTTCCCCCTTCCCCTTTATAAATTGCTGAAGCCACAAAGCACATTTTGGGGATCATAGAAGGTTGGGGTTCCAGAAAGGCCTCTGTGTGATGGTTCCATTCACCGTGGGATTTCCCTTACTTGCTGTATTCTCAACTTCTAATAAAAAGAACCAAATGGAATATCAACATTTGTTGTGTACTGTCTTACTGCCTCAGCTTACCTCCCTTGAAGCCTTAATTTAGACAGTGAAGCTTAAGAAATCGTCAGAGACTTCCCATTCTGAATGCACAAATCAAAGTTATTTATGCCCAACTCACTTTTCCTGACGTTTCTTAAGCTTTCATTACAACTGGGACCAGGTTTAGAATGGAGGGGAGCGCTAACTCCAAGGGGTAGTTCTTAATTTATGATTAATCAGAATAATACCTAAATAATGGATACTTTATGTGAAGGTTTCTGTTGAAGGACTCTTGGTATCTCAGAGAATCGTAACCACCTCCCTGTGCCCTGATCAGTACTACTCATTTCCTGGGTTGAGTAATACTCAGAAAGGCCAAGTGTGACTGGTGCCAGCACTCTTTACAATAAGAACACCGTTCGGATTACATCTCAGGTGTTGACCTAAAGGTTTGGGGGTTTGTTAACCCTTTGTCTAATTTAAGAAAGAGGAATTCCAACCCCTTTGCCTTGGGTACATTGTCTGTGCAAGGGAATTTCCAGTATTTGAATTCTATCTCTCTCTCTTTTTTTTAAAGATTTATTTATTTTAGAGAGCATGAGCGGGAGGGACAGAAGGAGAGAGAGAACCTCAAGCAGACTCTGTGCTAAGCTTGGAGCCAGATGCGGGGCTCAGTCTCATGACCCTGAGATCATGGCTTCAGCTGAAACCAAGAGTTGGACGCTTAACCAACTGCAGCACCCAGGCACCCCGAGTTCTCATTTTTTTTTTTAAAGATTTTATTTATTATTTGACAGAGACATAGTGAGAGAGGGAACACAAGCAGGGGGAGTAGGAGAGGGAGAAGCAGGCTTCCCCACGGTGCAGGGAGCCCCAGGCGGGGCTTGATCCCAGGACTCTGGGATCACGACCTGAGCCGAAGGCAGACGCTTAACGACTGAGCCACCCAGGCGCCCCCCGAGTTCTCATTTTTAAGCATAGATACAACTTTAGGGTTTCCCCATATATTATCTGGGTATAGAACATGGATCTCATTCTGCTCTTTTGAGGGCTTATAAAGAACCATTTAGTTTTTTGCTAAAAACTGTATGCTCCCATTCTCAGGTGATGATATTGCATGATAATTGCCGTGGGTATTGCGAAGGAAATAAAGGACAAGTTTGAATTTTGACTTTGTAGAATGCTAGGGCTCTGGGGTTCCTAAAGAAGCCCTTGGGCAGTGTTGCTTTACAATTTATCCTAAAAAAATATCCTTGTCTCTAGAATATTTTGTTTCAGTTACAGCATATTCTGTGTTTTCTTTCGCTCATTGGTTATGAACTATTGACCTCTACTTCTTGTGTCCTTATGAAGTTTTTCTGTCTTCAGTGATGTGACTTGGAAACAAGGAGGTCCGTCTGATTCTTGTAACTTGTGATGGCCTGGAGCAGGGATCGGGGAAACTGAGGAAGCAGGGAATCTAGCCGCAGGAACATGAAAACCTCTCAGAGCCCACCTCCCATCCCTGCCTTGGCTATGCTGACCTAGAACAAGAGGTAGGTTCAGGGTCAGGTTTCTGCCATTTGCCAGTGACATGGGCAAGAGGTAGTTTATTTCCCTAGTGTCCCTTTTCTCACCTTTTGAAATGGGCTTACATTCTTCGCATCTTTCACTGAGATCAACATTTCTCAAACTTTCCATAGTGATTGGTGGGCATTTCTGCCAAACTCTTGCCCCAATTTCTTCCTGTTGTGACCCCCTCCCCGATATTTACTTCTCTCATTTTAAGATACTTCCATTCCCTTGCCCTCCTGAATCAGAACTTCATTTAGCATTGTGAAGTGGTGAACTGTTTTCACCTGAAAGCACTTCTATTAAAATGTACAAAATTACTAGGTGGATCTAGTGGTTAATTTATCCCTGGTACTGAAGAAGGAGGATCTGACAGCAGCTTTGAGTTCTTGGTCATTTAAGAAAAGAGATTTCGAGATTCTAACAGAACCTTGTCATTTATTAAATGGCTTTGGTTTTAACTTTGTTCATCCGAGATCAGTGATGGCTCTTTAGCTTGAGTGAGGCTGCCACCTGCTGTCTGTTAGTGATTATGTTAAAAGAAGAAAGGAAGACTACTTGTTCGGATCTCCGAAGCTCACAAGAATCTTCCCGTCCTCCCAGGTGAGGAGCAAGGTTAGTTTATCAGAAAGGTTAGTTTATTCCTTCCATTGGTTCTAAAAGTGATTTCCCAATTTTACAGTCTCCTCCTGGCCATCCAGAGACATGGGGATGAAGTAGACAAAACAAGGCCAGGAGCTGCCCTGCACTTCCTAATCTTGGATTTTAAATGACATAGCCAAGATAGTTGATAAATTTGCCTGAAAATGCTCTCCGTGGGTGGGCAGGGAAGACAGGCCTTTCGAAAGACAGGATTGCTGTCCTAGAGAGAAAGACTAGCAGCCTGTGTCTGGGAGTTGGTAGAGGTCAGATGCTGTTGGAGCCCAGAACATTTATTAATGCCAAAGCAAGGCAGAGGGGTGGCTGTGGGCCCTGGGTGCTGTTGGTGGTGGAGGTGCTGGAGCAACAGGTAGGAAGTGTTCATGCTGCCATGCCTGTCACGATCAGGTCTTCTTGACAGGATGGTGGGGAAGCTCTGAGCTGTGGCATCTGTGGGGGCCGGAGAAAGGGTTCCCTGCTGCATTCTCACCCACCTGTGCCAGATGGACACCTGTGATCTTTGCCTATTCTTGGCATCCACATTGTCATTTCTTGGTCCACTCTCCACTTCCAACCCCAAATGAGGTAATAGACTAATAGTTAACATGTAATTTGTGCTTACTATATGCCCGGCACACTGCATGAGTATCACATTCGAACTTCACAGAGCTCTTTCAATAATTTGCAGCCAATTTTCAAGTTGCTTCAGTTTCCTGGTCTATAATATGAGACTAATAACAGTACCTACTTCCGAGGATTGTTGCGAGATTAAATGAGTTAATACCTGTTACTGACTGTGCTAGCCATTCCTAGCATTATTTTGCCACGTAAACTGGCTGAGCAAGTGAGCTTGAGTCACTCTCTTCTCTGAGGCTCCACTTCTTCAGCTATAAATGGGGCTGTTAATGCCTACCTCACAGGCTTGTTGTGAGACTAAATGGTGAAAGTGACATCATATAATCAGTAATGTAAGGCATTTTACAAATAGTGCAATGAATGCATTATTCAAACTTGGCCCACTCTACAGGGAAATGGGGCCATTTGCTGGTGGGAAGCTTGTACTCTGAATTGTGGAGGGCTGGGAAGAAGGGTCTCCCGAGGCCCTGGACGCTGTCCATGCTTATCTTGGGGCTTGGCTGGACCTCCTCATTGGAGGTTGGTTGAATTTAAAGTCCTGAGGCCACCTCAGAATGTCTACATGGTTCTGCCTTTTAGTGTTGCTCTCACTGTGGGGGCTGCTATCTTTCGGGAGCCAGGTCTGCGGGGGAGGGAGGAGGAAGCTTCAGGGCCTTGAGACCCTGGGGGAGGTGTGCATGTGGAGAGTAAGTTCCCAGATAGAGCTCCCCTCCTGGTGGACTCTGCTGTGCATGGTGGAATGTTCCTCGAGATGCCAACCCCAGGGATAGAGTCAGGTAGTCTTTTTATTTTATTTTTTAAAGATTTTGTTTATTCATTTGAGAGAGACAGAGAGACCGAGCACAAGCAGGGGGAAAGGCAGAGGGAGAGGGAGCTGGGAGCCTGACATGGGGCTCCATCCCAGGACCTGGAGATCAAGGTAGTCTCTTTTATAAAAGATAAGTGGCTAGAAAAAGACCACTATGGGATGCGGAGCTCCTGGGGAGGCTAGAGCTAGCCTTCAGGAGAGCCCTCACCATGCCACTGTGAGGGACTGTGCTTTGTCCTGCGACTTCTGCTTGGCTGCCACTATGCCTCCACCTCCCGTGTTCTTCTCTCACCTTTCAGGGCAGCAGCTGCATATTTTACCCTCTTGGCTTTTTCTTAGATGCAGAAGTTTCTGTACATTAACATTTTGTAAAGACATTTTTTAAGTTTTTTTTTTTTTTTAAAGATTTTATTTATTTATTCATGATAGAGAGAGAAACAGAGGGAGAAGCAGGCTCCCAAGGAGCAGGGAGCCCGATGCGGGACTCGATCCCAGGACCCTGGGATCATGACCTGAGCCGAAGGCAGACGCTTAACCATCTGAGCCACCCAGGCGCCCTTTTTAAGTTTTTAATAGCAATAGTTTGTAGACATGCCACAGTAATATAAAAGGATTTAATACCTGTTCCTGTTCTGGGTTTTTCCCACTACTAGTTACATCCTTGCCCCCGCCCCCCACACACACACGCCTGTGTGCGCGCACACACACTTTTTTGAGCGGCAGCTAGGAAACTGACCTACCCCCCCACCATGCGTCTCATTTTGAGAAAGTTCTATCTCAGGTGGGGGCATGTTCTTCATCTCATTTCTGCTGTGGGCCTCATTCTGCCCCTCTTTCTCAGTAGCTTTAAGTTCTTGGGTTCTACTGAAGACCAACCAGGTTTATTAGGAACAGCTGACCCTTGGCTGGGTCTGGACTTCTGGAGAATAGATGCAATTAAATTCTTTTGTTTTGGTCCAAGTTGAGCTCGCGCTGGACTCCTGAAGAGGTGGTAAGAAGGATGGTACTAGGCACCCCGGAAGGTCTTTGAGAAGTGGTTTCTGGTTCCATCCGGCAATCTCAGGAGGCAGGGACCATTAGCCCAAGATTAAGATGAACAACCCAGGTGTAGTGAGGTGGATCCCACGGCAGGTGCTGACTCTTTAGAATGTCTCTGGAAGGATCATCTTGTCAAAACAAAGGTGAGACCGGGCGGGCGTCACCGCAGCAGCTGGGGTGGTAGCACCCAGGCACACAGAGGCAGTAGGAGCATGGGCAGCGGGGCTGAGGTGTGTGAGGTGCCACCACACTCCTGGGCATTTTCCTGTGAACCCAGGGCAGAGATGAAGGGGTAGCATTCAAGATGAGGCAAGGAATCGGGAGGAGGGTCTCTGGG